ATCTAAAAAAAATAAATCAAGAAAGCAATAGCAACAAACAAAATAAAACTAAATACCAAGGGAAAAACTTAAACAAGGAGTTGAATGATCTCTACAGTGAAAACTATAAAACATTAATGAAGGAAAATAAAGAAAACACAAATAAATGGAACGATACCCAGTGTTCATAGATCGAAAGAATTAGTGTTCTTTAAATGTTCTTACTACCCAAAATCATCTACATTCAATATAATCTTCATCAAAATACCAATGGCATCTCTCACAGAAGTAGAAAAACAATCATAAGATTTGTATAGAAATACAAAAGATCCGGAATAGCTAAAGAAATATTGAATAAAAAGAACAAATCTGGAGGCAATATACTACCTGACTTCAAAATACACTACAAAGCTATAGTATCAAAAATAGTATACTACTAGCATAAAAATAGATACTTAGTCATTGAAATGAAGAAAAACCTAGAAATAAATGCATATATTTACAGCCAACCTATTTTTGAAAAAGGCATTAAGAAAACACAATGGTGAATGCATGGTCAGTCTCTTCAATAAATGGTGCTGGGAAAACTGGATATTCTACAGGCAGAAGAATGCAACTGGACTCCCCATTTCTCATCATAAAGAAAAATCAACTCTAAATGAATTGAAGACTAAAAAAGGCCCAGAACTATAAAACTACTAGACGAAAACATGGAGAAAACACTTCACAAAGCTGGACAAAGTTTTTTTCTGTAAGACCTCAAAATCACAGGCAAGAAAAACAAAAATAGACAAATGGGATTGCACCAATCTAAAATGCTTCTGATAAATGAAAATCAACAGAGTAGAAACAACCTACATAAGTTGAAAACTATGTATCTTACAAGGGATTAATATCCAAGATATGTAAGAAACTCAAACAACTTAATAACATAAAGTGAAATAGTTTGATATGAAAATGGGCAAAGTACCTAAACAGACATTTCTTAAAATAATACATACAAATGACCAACAGGTACATGAAAAAAAATGCCCTTTAAAATCAAATGACCATGAGCTATTGCTTTACCACAGTTATAATGGCTATCATTAAAATGACAAAAACTACCAAATGCTGGTGAGGATGTGGTGAAAGGGCACATTGTTGGTAAAAATGTAAATTAGTACATCCATTATATACAACAGTATGGAGGTTCCTCAGAAAGGTAAAAATAGAACCATCATACATTACAGCAATTCCATTGCTGAGTACATATCCAAAGAAAATGAAATACGTATTTCAAAGTCATATCTGCACTTCCATGTCTATTGCAGTGCTATAACTTTTTGCTGTGTTATCATAAGAAAATAATGACTCAATGTACATGAATTACTTTATAACCTATAAAACACTTAAATATATATACATATACATTTAAAAACTGGAATGTTTATGCTTGAAGACATAGTTATTAGGCTCAAAACAGCCACAAAATACTTATGTATGATTATCATGATGAAGCTGGATAGACATTGTCAAGATCTTAAAATATAATAAAAAGTATATATGAAAGGAAGATATATTTCTATTGAGCCTCAAATAGTAACACTATTCGCCATAAAATTCAATGAAATTTCATCTTGTAATAACGTGGATGAACCTGGATGTTTTTAAGTGAAATAAGCCATGTACAGAAATATATATTCTGAATGATATCACTCATTTGTGGAATCTAACACAAGATGATCTCACAGAAGTAGAGAGTAGAATCATGGTTACCAGAGGCTGAGGACAATAGCCAAAGGGAGGTATAGGAGAAGCTGGTCAATAGGTACAAAGACATGAAAATAGGTCATGGTGTTCTATTACACAGTGGGGTGACTGTAGCTAATAATAATGCATTATGTATTTCAAGATAGTAGAATAAAATAATTGAATGTTGATATGGTTTGGATCTGTGTCTCCACTAAAGGTCATGTTGAATTATAATCCCCAATGTTGCAAGTGGGGTTTGGTGGGAGGTAACTGGATCATGGGAGTGGATTTCTCATGATAGTTTAGCATCATCCCCTTGCTGCTGGTCTCAGGATAATGAGTTCTCGTGAGATCTTGTTGTTTTGAAGTGTGTAGTATCCACACCCCCATGATCTATTGCTCTTGCTCTGGCCATGTGACATGGCTGATCCTTCTTTGCCTTTCACCATGATGGCAAGTTTTCTGAGGACTACACAGAATCCAAACAGATTCCATTATCATGCTTCCTATGCAACCTGCAGAACTGTGAGCCAATTAAACCTCTTATCTCTATAAATTACTGAGTCTCAGGTATTTATAGCAAATCAAAATTGGATTAATACAAATGTGATGACCACAAACAATAAATGTTTAAAGGGGTGAACATGCTAATTTCCCTGGTTTGATTATTATGCTATATATACATGCATTTAAAACTCACAACTGTAACCCGTACACATGTACAATTATTACGTTAATTGTAAATAAAACTTTTTGAAATGATACAAACTACTATACTGTGTAAAATGTCTTAGAATTCATTTAATAAGGTGGTTTCTACCTTTATATACTCTTTTTTATTATCTTAAACCTTTTGTGAAACAAAGAGGGAGATAAATTGATACATGAATAGAAACACAGATTAATAAGTAGATAGTGTATACAAATTGTACATATAGACACATTATATATTTGAAATTATTACAAGCTTGAAGAATCTATAATCACATATATTGATTTTAAGAATGAAATTATAAGCCATGTTTCTGAGTCATTAACCTATTGTAGACCTTTAGGAAATATTTCTCGTTCAAGGACCACCTCTTCTTTTTTTTTTTTTTTTCCCATTTATTTATTTTATTGCATTTTACATTTTGGGGTACATGTGAAGAACATGCAAAATTGTTGCATAGGAACACACGTGGCAGTGTGATTTGCTGCCTTCCTCCCCATCACCTACATCTGGCATTTCTCCCCTTGCTATCTCTCCCCTCTTCTAACCTTTTCATTATTATAGAAAAAATGAGTTAATGTATACAATAACTGTACAACCTATAAAACACTGAAAATATGTATACATTCATAAAGTAAAATATCTATGTTTGAAGACATGATTTCTAAGATTAAAAACAACCACTAAAATATTAATATATGATTATAGTGCCAATGCTGGATAGACATTCATAATATCTTAAGATATAATATATATATATGAATATTTATATAGCTGATATATATATATGTATATATATGGCTGATATAGTATATGTATATATATGGCTGATATAGTTTGATATATTTCTATTAATCCTCAAATTCTAGAACAGACTCTTAGTCTTAACATTGGATTTGTCATAGGCAAAATTCTAAGAAAGACTCCCAACAACCATTCCTTCGGAGTGTGTGTAGAATTTGTGAATAACAGGAGATAGCATTCTTATTACTTGCTATATTATGAAGTACAATTGATCCTTATGATAAAGACATTATCTAGGTTGGTTGAATCTAACCATTTGAGCCCTTTAGGAAACAAAGCTGTTCCTCAACTGATAGTGGTTTGGGAAGGCAGAAAAAGACTGATTTAATTATGAGGACTCCATGAACTATTTCGGGTTTGAAGATGTAGGGGGTGGTATTTGAGAAGGAATTTAGACAATTTCTAAGAGCAGAAAGCAGCTCATTGCTGACAGCAAGCAAGAAAACAGAGATATCAGAACTATAGCCACAGGGAATTAAATTCTAACAGCTGAAATGTGCTTAGACACTGAGTCTTTCTTAGAGTCTCCAGGTAACATACATACAGTTCAGCTGACAGTCTGATTTCAGTCTTGTGAGACCCTAAGCAGAGGACCCAGTTAAACCCACCTAAGCTTTTGAATTATAAAAATATGAGATAAAAAATTATTGTTTTATGTCACTAAATTTGTAATAATTTTCTATTTAGTAATAGAAGACTGGCACATGCTCATTATAAAAATATTATTGGTTCTCTAAGATATTTGTAGATCGTACACATTTAATTAAGAATGGCGATGAGAGATTAATTCAAGAGATGATAACGCAGAAGGCAAGTATTGCTGGTGGCTCAGTCATGATTTAGATTTTAATATATGCTGATAGAGTAAATGCATTAGAGATTAATATTTTCATAAGCCACTACAGACTATAAAATGCTCAACAAAATTGTATAGGTTTAGAAATTATACTTTGCTTTAAATCATCACTTTTCAGGAAAACATCAGTAGATATTCTCATTAAGTCAGACAATAATCAGATCATAGAAATCTAAATTATAGAAGGCTCCCATCCCAGCTCCAATGCCTCTAAAATTTATTATTGTGTAAGACCAGTTAGAAACTTTGAATCAAACCACTAATATTTTTGTAGTTTACCTCTTATAGTAGCTGATATTTAATAAAACTATTTCTTAGGATAAAAATAGTTAAGATATGTTAAAAAGAGCTAAATAATAGCCACATGTTTAAATGCCTCTCTGCATTCATCTATTAATCGGGTGAAATTGTGAGTTTCATAAAAATGTACTAACTCAGATATATCTATATGTTTATAAGTTTAAAAAGCATCTAGCTTTGTTTAAAATATTTTGTGTACAAGCAGACCATAAGTTTAAGATGAGAGAAAGACACATAAAGTTATGCAGATGATTTAACAAAAGTTACAGGAATGAAAGGGAAATCAGGATTACAGCTGATCTTCACAGATTAATGTTTAAACTTGCCTTTTTTCCATATCAGTAAGTTACAACTACAGGAAAAAAATTAAACAAGTATTTTATTAAAGTGTAAAAATCAATTGATTACTTTTAGTACTTGTAGCTAGATTTAGTCAACAATAATAAGTGAATGTAAGTATTAAACTTAGAATTTTAGAGAGCATAAAACATAAGTGTCTTCTTTGGTTTTGCCCCTTTAAATCTGAGTGCTCTTGGCCTCTTTATGATGTCACCTTTCAACATCACTAGTTTGAACTTACAGTACTTAAGTCCTGGCAAGTCATATGTGGGGAAAATGTCTCTCCCACGATTGTAAGTCAAATTTTACGTTTTAAAATACTAAAATACTCACTAGCTTTACATTTAACTTCTTTAGTGTGAAGAGGTGTTTATTATTATTATGCCATTCATAAGCAAAAGATAATGTGTTTAGCAGATGAAGTTTCTCACATAATAGATATTTTTGATTCAAGATACAGCTAGTACATGCATTTCAGCAAAATAGATACCTGGCTTTAAATAAGTCTTTTTGTTTGTTTTTTATTGTGAATCTTACTTGATTTCTTATCACATTGTATTTTCAGTAATATAAAATAATTTATGATTTTCAGTCAGGGAACCACTTGGAAATTTCTGTGAATAATTTTTGTGTATGTAATAGTGACTGAGGAGTGTGACTCAATTTTAAAGGAGGCATATATCACAGTGGTAACCTTTAGTAAAAAGTGGGGCAGCTCTATCAGAATATGACCAACCAAATACTAATTGTATCCATCTTACAAAATATTGAGTATGTGAAAGTAGTTCGTTATGCAAAGCAGCTAATCCAGACATGAGAAGTAAGTCATATAGTAGTTTGCTTGTGCTTAAATTATTCTGTGTTAAAATAAGGCAGGTGAAGAACAGGTTTCAATTCTGTAAACCTTTTTTACAGAGGGCATGGAACAAAGGTGAAGCAATAGAGTTTTGAAATGTAAAGTATGGGTGGGCCTTCATTCAGCAGTATTATTAAAAGAAAGATAAAACATGAATGCTGAAAATAAAATAGGCTTTCCATAGATACTGGTGTCTAGTTTCTTATAAAAACAATCATTTTAAAGTATAACGTTTGGTAAAGGTTTAAATGCATTTGTCGTGATTACTTTAAAAGCTGAGTAACTTGATGCCTTTAAGTCGTTCTGCTGGTGAAAGCATGTCTTTCCTCTCTGGTACAGTCAATGATTGCATTGTTTGATTTTAGGTTAAACCAACCTCATATTCTGGAAAGTAAACCAGATGGTTATGATGTATTAGCAATTTTACATATTTGTCAGTACTATTTAATTTTAAGAAATTATGTGTCTATATTAATGATAGATATTCATCTGTAATATGCATTTTTAGTATTGACCTCCAGAGGATTTGGGTTATTTATATTAGCCTTAAAAATAAGTTGGAACATACTTACCCCCTCCTCTACTTCTTTTCTTATACTATTTTCCAAATTTTAATGGCGAGATTTAAAACACTGATTTTAAACATTTTTTATAATATAAAACATTAAAACTATAAGTTATTCTCTATGAACTTTTAAGCAATATTCTATAATTTTCTTATATTAACTTATTATTCAGTAGCTTCTTTTTCAGTAGGTTTTCATTGTGATCTCTGACCACTGGTTCTTTAAAAGGAGCTGATAATTTTTCAAATATATATATATTTTCTAGATAATTTTATTATTGATTTTAATTTCAATTGCTTTGTGATTAAAGCAGATGTCCTAGAAATTATAGAAGAAATTGATGGATCATTCTAGCATTAGGAGAAATACCTAATGTAGATGACGGGATGATGGATGCAGCAAACCATCGTGACACGTGTATACCTATGTAATGGATCTGCACACTCTGCACATGTACCCCAGAACTTAAAGTATAATAATAATAAAATGAATAAATAAATTAAAAAAATGAAAATCTCAAGTTTAATAATGTTTCATGAACTTGAAATATTTCCTCATTCAGAGCATTTGGAATAACGCAGTTCATAATCACCATTGGACATTAAAATTTCTTCTGTAGTATATAAATGTCGTTTGACTGGATCTGAATTTAGATATTGAGATATTTTGGGGCAAGTAATTTTGGTGCATGGGTTCAGTTTAAGAAAATGATAGACTGGAAAACTTACTGGTAAAAATATATTAAATGTTATTCAATTAATACAAATTTTTATAGAGTGACAAAACTGTGCCATGTTTTATACTGGCAGCTTCATTCTTTAGTCAAGGTATCAAGACACTGCTTTTCTGTACTTAAACCTTAAATTTTACTATACATCTGTCAAAATAAACACTACATGAGGCACATAAGCCTCAAATTCACTCATGCCCAATGATTGCTCTATATCCAAAATATAATGAAACTATGGAAAATAATATTTCTCTAATAGATTGTAGGGTTTGCCTCCATCACCAATAAATAAAAATTAGATTGTAAAACTCTTCTTCATGAGAACAAACATGTTTAGATAGTAGTAAATCAAATGGGAAACTATAAATGGAAAATAATTTGCAATATAGTTTTGTTTTTCAGATTTTCTTTAAAATGTAGCAAAATTCCTTATGAATTTTTGTGGTCCACACTGACATATACACATGCACACACAAATTCACAGGTGCACATATATGCCATTTAACAATTTGGATTTGGTAAAGTTTCGAGAGTATTTTGAGGATATGCTTTTACATAAGCATAGGGTTTACAAAGTGATATCTTGTTTCAAACTGAATTGCAAGAGAATTTGAAACATGAAATGAGAAAAATAATTCAACTGTGTTTTTATAATTTTATAATTTAAATGTATATTTTCAGATGTGCAATTTGTTTATATATATATATATATGTATATACACACATGCACACACACACACACACATATGTATCTATTTGATAGGCATATGTATATATAGTTTGTTTGGCCAACCATTATTTAGTACTGTTGTAATTTGAAAACACATTGGCTAATCTCTTCTATCCTGGAGATAAAGTATTCTTATATAATTAAAGACATCTGAGAATGTGAAGTATTTCCCTAGTTGTTAGTTGTATAAGTGCTGAAGTATAATAATGCCAATTTAAAACACGGATTTTATATAAATTAACTAATACCTTTCTTTTTTATTTTAATAGCCAAAAAGTAAACTTTGGGACATATGATAATTACATTCCAGGTAAGAAAGCATTCGATATTTATTTCAAAACGTGTGTGATTAATTTTATAGTAAGTATTACTCTCCATTCAAAGTGATAAAGCAAACATTGCCATGGAATCAAATTGATAATCAACTTTCTATTTCCCAAGGAACCTTTTTTACAGACACGTGGAACACCTTTTACATATATTTTGCTTTGTTTTGAATCCAAGGAATTTTAAGTAAATATGTTCAACAACATAAAGCTGGAAATAGTTACATGTTAGAACTCATACAATCAGATAATCTTACAGTTGAAAAGCAATGTCGAAATTAGATAAACAATTTCTTGTTTATTATATCTAATTTTAAGCTGGATCTTATCTATCAGGAATGCTGATTATTCCTCTGCAACATTCCTGACAGATTATATCCAGCTTAAAAGTGGGCCAAAATTTCTTTACTAGGCAAGGCAAATGTATTTGATTTTGGAGGACTTCAAATATCAATTACATTCCCCTCAGATATTGAGCTTAAATATTACTTTTTTTCTGTACATTTTTCCCACTGTTCCTATTTTCTTTAGAGGACTCATAGGAAATGTCTATTATTTTCACACATTAATACTGCGTGTATCTAAATACAATGATGAAACCTCTCATTGGTCCCATTGGTAACCGAAATATCATTAATCATTTCCAGTATAGCTTCCAGCTTACTTCACCCTCCCAGGCACTATTCTGTAGACTTTTGGTCAGTTTTCTTTATTAAATACGTAACCTATAACAATGCCATTCTTGGATGAGCAGCATTTACTCTTGTAGCTTGGAAAGTTATTATTAACTAAGGCGATCTTAAGCCTTAGCATTTAGATGAAATCATGTATTTCCTATTTTATGTTGGCATTGTGCTAAGTACCGTGGGAGCTACAAAAGTAGTTAACTTATTTTCTGTTGTTAATAAAATTGTATGCTAACAAAAAGTATGAAGCAAAAACCTGGATTGGAAGAGATACAATTAAAGGGAAGCAGTAAAACTGAATCTTTCCATTTAGTGATATTAGTTTTTCAATGACTACTTTATAAAGTTATCTGTAAAACTGGTCAAAATAGAAAAATCAATTTTTATTTTCTCATATTGATAACAGAAAATTGCAAACATTACCAAATAAATGAAGCCATAATTTGAGTCACTTGTTTATTCATTTACATGATATATGTTGCACTTAATGCCATTTCAGCTCTGATGAAATTCTATTCATTTCAAAACGTGTGTTTTGTCTTTCTTATTTTAGTCAGTGAATTAAGCAAAAAATCATGGAATCAACAACACTTCGCCCTGTCATTTCCAAAACCACAACGGCCAGGAACGAAAAGAAGATCAAAACCTTCTCAAATAAGGGACAATACAGGTCCTGTAAGTACTGGAAAGATAATATAATTATCTGTAATAAGTAATAACTTAGTAACAATTGTGACCATAATAAGTAATTATAAATCTTAGTCTTAAGTAATCACTTGTGAGTAGTAAGCTTATGAAATCATATAGTTTTATGTGTTATAGATCAAAGCTGACAAAGTTTCTGCAGTGATGGCAATATTTATCTCTATAGTCCAATTAGGCTATTAAATACTTGAAATGAGGCTAGTGTAACTGAGGAATTGAATTTTACATTTAAATAACATTGAATTAAAGCAAATTCACATGTGGCTATGAAATGCCATATTGAACAGCACAGTTAGAAGTAATTCAAATTTTACTATTTAAAAAAGGTAGATATGTTTTATTTGCATTTTACTGTATACAACCACTCCCTTTATTTCAATATTAACTATTTTTTCAGTAACGCTTTATTACAAAAAATGTTTCCAATTAGTAGAAAAATATGGAGGTCCTAATGTTAGAGTTAGTATGAACTTTCAGAAAATGTTCTTCGGCTGGAGAAACCCCCTCATTTGAGTCATGGGATTACATTATACCTTTAATACTTCCTCAGTTCTGTAATGCAGAATTCAGGATTCAGAGTATTGGAAAATAAATATTTCCCAATGTTTCTGGAGTCAACATGGGATATGCATATTTTCAAAGGAAAGTTTTCACAAAATAAATGTATCATTAACTTGTTTATTTCTGAAAATGTATCCCATTGGTAGTGAACAAAGTTCTTTTTTTCTTTGGTGAATTTATTTTTCCATTGTTAATATTTGTACCAATATTGGCTATTTTTGTCATTTAGTTTTGTAAATGTTTAATTAGAAGTTTGAAAATAAAATGCATAGTCTCAAACTAACATTCCCTGTTACAGATTTTATTATTTCGGTTACCAATCTGATGATACTCAATTTGTATCTCAGTAAGCAATAGGAGTTCCAGGCTTTTATCTTTAACTATGAGTAGCATTCTAAATTTCAGAGACTCTGGAAATGAAAATAGACTAAGATATGCTTCAACCTGAAACTATTAGATATTAGAGAACAGTTTCTGAGTTACCAAAAAATAGAAGTTGGACAAGATATTCCAAGAATTCTCAAGAACATAGAGTTTTATTTTTTTAAAAAAAAGCCTCCTATGATTGTGAAGAGAGGTTCTAATATGCCTTGAGTCAATGGAGGTCTCTACCAATTTGAACCTAAAATCCTGAGGGAACTATCAAGGTCCTATAAACTGAAAGTAAGCTCCAAATAAGGCATGATTATTCACTAGTTTAAAAAAGAGGATGAACATTTAAAAAACAAAACCAAAATAAACGATGAAATCTGTAACTTCCCCCACTTTTTAACAAAAGCTAAAATCTCTTTATGGTTAAAGTTAAAATATATTTGGGATATACTAATAAAAAACTGTGTAATTTACCCACAAGTTATTCATCATTATTGTAACCAATCTTTCAGACAATTGATGAAGAACAATTAAGAGGAGGTCATAGACGACCATTATGGATGTACCGTTCTCTAATGAGAATTCCCGAGAGACCATCCATTTATTTAGCTGCCAGGAGGCAGCCTCTCAAACCAACTCGTACTGCCAAGGCAGATTCTAAAGCAGCAGGTGGAGAGTACTTACTGTTTTTATATTATCTCTGTAAATTTTCTGATTAGGTTTCTATTAGAATTTTATCAGGTTTGGATTTTCTCATTTTAAGAAATATTTGAATATTTGTCCTCAGATATTGGTAAGAAAGGTGAAGACAAGACAACAGAGAAGGACACAACAGGTTCCGAATCAGAATTAAAACAAGGGAAAAAAGATGTAAAGAAAGGCAAGGATGTAGATAAAGGAAAAGATGAAAAGCTAGATGCAAAGAAAGATAGCAAAAAAGGTGAAAAAGATGCAAAGAAGGGAAAAGACTTGGCTACAGAATCTGAAGATGAAAAAGGAGGTGCAAAGAAAGATAGGAAAAAAGGTAAAAAGGATGCAAAGAAGGGAAAAGACTCAGCTACAGAATCTGAAGATGAAAAAGGAGATGCAAAGAAAGATAGCAAAAAAGATAAAAAGGATGCAAAAAAGGGCAAAGACTCAGCCACAGAATCTGAAGATGAAAAAGGAGGTACAAAGAAAGATGCCAAAAAAGACAAAAAAGATTCAAAGAAGGGCAAGGATTCAACCACAGAATCAGAATCTATAAAAGCAGATGAAAAGAAGGATGAGGATGGGAAAAAAGATGCAAAGAAAGGTGATGAACTGAAGGATGCCAAGAAAGATGCTAAGAAAGATGCAAAGGAGAATAAAAAGGATAAGAAAGATAAGAAGCCCAGTAGTACAGACAGTGACTCGAAGGATGATGCCAAGAAAGAGTCTAAGAAGGATGCCAAGAAAGATGCAAAGAAAGACTCTGACAAAGAATCTTCTGACTCAAAGAAGGATGCAAAGAAGGATGCAAAGAAAGATGCAAAGAAAGATGCAAAGAAGGATGAAAAGAAGGATGCAAAGAAGGATGAAAAGAAGGATGCAAAGAAGGATGAAAAGAAGGATGCAAAGAAGGATGCAAAGAAAGATGCAAAGAAGGATGCAAAGAAGGATGAAAAGAAGGATGCAAAGAAGAAGGGCAAGTAGGCCTTAAATAAGAATTCAAACCGAAAGAATAATTCAAAAGCATATTTGATGAAACAATAGCGGTATTCTGCAACTGAATTTGTGAGTAAAAAAGAGGTTTCAAAGAATTAAATGATGTTTAAAAGGGGGCAAAGAAGGATACAAAGGAGAACTCAAGAAATTTATAAAAATATAAGAAAGATGTTAAAAAAAATTAAGGGGGGATCCATTGAAAGACTTGAAGAATGCATATACTTAAATTTGGGGATAGGAAGGATTCAATGAATGATCTCTAGAAAGATCTAAAGAAGAATATTCAAATAAGGATGTAGAAGATAAGGACACTAAATCCATGGACACACACACACACACACACACACACACACACACACACACACACGTTTAATAAAGGCTTAAAAATCCCAAGGAGGGAGATGCTATATCTATAGATTTAAAATAATCTCAAACGGCATCTACAAATTTAAAGAAAGAAATATAGGAGTCATGAATTGAAGTTAAACACCTTTAAGAAAGTCTACTTTCAAGTAAATACAGCATCCCTCTGGGGGGAAAAAAAAAAAGAAGTAAAAGAAAAAATTACTTCCTTAGAAGCCGACATCTTTCTTTCTGAAGTTTAAACAATCACAACCATGTTTATGGTTGTTGGATGTCCCCCTTCCAAGCCAAAAGAAGCACTCTTGGTAAGTTAGTTTGATTTTATTTCAAGCCAGATTGAATGAATGTTTTTCTTTTTAATTTTTGTAGGCGCATAGTAGATGTAACAATAATTGAAACAAATTATGGTTAGATAGAAGGAATAAGTTCAAAAGATTTATTGTACAGCATGGTGACTATAGTTAATGACAATGTATTGTATTGCTGAAAAATGCAAAGAGAATGAACATTGTCTTCTCATTGCATAAATGATAACCATGTGAGATGACGCTTATGTCAACTAGCAAGATTTCAGCATTCCACAATGTATACATACTTCATAACATCCTATTGTTCACGGTAAATTAAAATAAATAAATTTGAAATACAAATTATTGAACCGATGTAGAGGTTTAAATTGACACTGTTCTTAGATTATTTCTGTAATTTTATGATTATGTTTCTTTTAGAATTTTAACAAGTTTGGACTCTCTCATTTTAAGAAATATTTGAAGAACATGGAGAGACAACCAAGTAAATGAAGCTTTAGAAAATGCCCTTGAAAAGGTTAGGGAAGTCTCTCATGAGGGAGAGGATACTAGCCTATAATATATGATATTATTACCAATTAATCATCCAAAGTTTTAAAATAGAAAGTAACCAATTTATTTTGATTTAAAGAAGGACAAAAATCAAAATTGTCTAAATGACCAACAAGAACAAATTTAAATGAGGCATATGAAAGAGCTACTTGATAAACAGCTAAATACATCACAAAACTAAATAAATCAGAATTTAACAGAGTGTAACAAAGGATATATACATAATATTTATTTAGATGTGAAAACAATTAACTTTATATCTTTAAAACTATATTAAACTCTTTTGTGACCCCTTAAGTCCTATTGATTTGAGGAAAAATAAAAAGCAGTATTAAGCAAAATGCAATATCCTTGAACTTCCCAATTAGTGGCAATTCATTTATTTCTGATTTACCATTTTCTGAAATAAACTCAATGTTGTTGCAAAATTGCTAAATGATTTGCTCTCCCCTTTATTCTTCCTGACATAAACTTTGGACGCAACATGAATCTTCTCCTGGACATTAAAGGAAGGGTCTCCTATTCTGTATGTTCTCAAAATCTAGCTTCCAAGGAACAGTAAGGAATAATTGTTTTGCTTAAACATTAAGCATTGCGTCCTGTCCCTCCTGCATCAGCTACTAAAAGTCATTGGTTATTATAACCATGATCTGCCAGGAGATCTCACCTGGTTAGACTGCATGAGCAATAATGGCACAGCGAGTCAAATTCTGGCCCTTTGTTCTCCTCCCATTCCCTCTAGGAACCTGCTCATCACGTTCCTCTGCTGATAGTGAAATTACATGTTCAGATTGTTAAACTTTTCTGGAAATGTTGGCATTTCTCTGAGGATTTAGGAAATCATTTCAAATCCTCTTTTTCCTCTATAAAAAGGCCCTTAACATTATTTTAACCAATAGGATTCAAAAATCAGGTTTTAGATTGAAATTTAATGTACAATGACAGAAAAATTGAGCTTCTACCTTTACTATCCCACTTAAGTAGGCGTAGCATCACATGTAGTTAAATCTAATAGCAGTGCCCTTTCATCCAGTACATGTTTGTTATCTGTATTGTTTTCTCAGTTATCCCAATAAAAAATAAAAATTTAAAACATGGCTTTACATACCATTCTTATGCTGTCGAATCTTATATTTAAACCTGGTATTTACTTATTTACTCAGCTCCATATTCCCATACCCAAATACTTAATTAAGGCATCTAGTTGACTATCGTCCAGGTATCTCAAAATTAACAAGTCCCAAAAAGAACTGTTGACATCCTTCCACCAATGCCTCTTTCTCCCCGAGTTATCCCCAGCCCATTAAATGACACTGGTATCCAGTCTGTAGCTTAATCCACAATCAGGGAGTCATCCCTAATTACTCTTTTTTCACCCTTCCTACCAGTAGTAAGTCCCATCCTGTCTACCTAAAAAATACTTGAATTGGTATAATTCATTATATTTCTACCACTTCTGCCCACTAGAAATTTAGTCAACCAATAGCTCTCTCTTGAAAACTCCAAAGCCCTCTCAGTGCAGGAGAAGCCCCTTCTTCATTTCTCTCCACAGCACCATATCCCATTCTCCATACAGAAATCATCATGTATCTCCCTTGGCCAAAGCTTTCTAGTGTATGGATACCACACTTAGCATTAGCTTTTCTTTTGCTCTGGCTTATAAATCCTTTAATGATCTGTCTGCTGACTATTTCTCTGCCCTCATGTGCTCTGGCTTATAAATCCTTAGTGGTCTGTCTGCTGACTACTTCTCTGCCCTCATATATGTTTTACCACATATAACCTTAAAATATTAAGCTTTTACACTTGTTTCTTCTCCCTAGAATGCAATTCTCCTAGAACATCAGAGTCGAAGCCTTCAAAATACTCATTCTCAACTTACATTTTACATTTCCAGATATTTTTAAAAGATTGGTTTGTTTTTTGACACAGTGTCTCTCTCTGTTGCCCAGGCTCAGATGCATTGGTGTGATCATGGCTCGCTGTAGCCTCAACCTCCCCAGGCTCAGGTGATTCTCCCATTCAGCTTCCCTAGTAGCTGGGACTACAAGAGCTGTTCATCACATCCAGCCATTTTTTGTATTTTGTAGAGATGGGGTTTTGCCATAGGTTTTTGCCCAGGCTGGTCTCCAGCTCCTGGGCTCAAGCAATTCATCCACCTGAGCCTAGCTAAGTGCTTGGATTACAGGAGTGTTACTATCAAAGACTAAGTGTTAATAATCACATCGTGGAGAATGGGGTAACCATCACTTCAAGCATTTATCCTTTGTGTTAAAAACAATTCAAATATACTCTTACAGTTATTTTTAGATACACAATTAAGTTATTGACTATGGTCATTCTATGGTTGTGCTATCAAAGAGTAGGTCTTATTCATTTTCTCTAACTTTTGCACATTAACTATCCTTACCTCTCCTCCAATTACTCACTACCCTTTCCAAACTTCTACTCTCTACCTCCATGAGTTTGTTTTAATTTTTAGACACAACAAATAAGAGAGAACATGCAATGCTTGTCTTTCTGGGCCTGGCTTATTTCACTTCATAATAGTTATTTCTGAGGCTTGCTTTAGGTATTTAGGGTACTTTGTGATTTCATATCAATTTTAGAGTTGTATTTCATTTCTGTAAAAAATACCCAAAGTTTTTGATAGGGACTGTGTTAAATCTGTAGATTAATTTGGGTAATATGAATATTTCAATAATATCACTTCTTTCATCCATGAATACAGAATGTTTTTTCATTTATTTGTATCTTCAATAATTTTTTCATCAATGTTTTATCTATTTCAGTGTACAACATAAATACATCCTTGGTTAAATTTACATCGAAGTATTTTATTCTTGTTGATGCTGTTGTAAATGAGATTTATGAAATTCTTATTTTTTTAAATTAGATAGTTTATAATATTTGGATATTTCTTAATTTTGTGAGATTTATTAATTTCTTAATTTTTAAAATTAGTTGGTAATGTTTGAGAATGCAACTGATTATTACATGCTGATTTTCTGTCCTGCAAATTTACTGAATTTATATACTAGTCCTGTCAGGTTTTTTTTTTTGTTATTGACTCTTTATGTTGTTTTTAAGATATAAGATAAAGCCATCAGCAAACAGATGATTTTACTTATTACTTTCTAAATTGGATGGCTTTATTTATTTAGCTGGCCTAATTGTTCTGGATTGGACTTTTGGTCCAACATTGAATGGGTGAGTAGGGTGAGATACGGCATTCTTGCTTTGCTGTTGATTTTAGAAGATAATCTTTCAGTTGAGTATGATCTTAACTGTGAGCTATTCATAAATGGCCTTCATAATATTAAGGTAAATTCCATCTATATCTAGTTTGTTGAGTTTTTTCCATAAGAGGTTGATGAATTTTGTCAAAAGCCTTATGCTTTTTTCTACATCTGTTGAGATGATCATATGATTTATATCCCTTATTCTGTTATTGTGGTATATCACATTTAATGATTGTTGTGTACTTAACCATACTTGTATCCCAGGAACAAATCCCACCTCATCATTTGTGTATAATCCTTTCAATGTGCTCCTGAATTTGCTTTGCTTATTTCACTTCACATAATAATTTCTAGTTCCATCCATGTTGTTACAAATGATAGGATCTCTCATTCCTTTTATGGCTAAATAGTATTTCATTATGTATAAGTACCACATTTTCTTTACCCATTTAACTGTTGACAGACACTTAGGTTCCTTCCAAATCTTGACTATTGTGAACAGTACTGTAATAAAAATGGGAGTGTGGGTATCTTTTTGATGTACTGACTTTCTTTTGGTGGGTATATACCTCAACAGTGGGATTTTTGGTTGATATGGTAGCTCAATCTTTAGTTTTTTGAGAAACCTTCAAATTGTTCTTCACAGTGGCTGTACTAAATTACAAGTGCACAGGGTTGCCTTTTCTCCACTTCCTCACCAACATTTGTTACTCTTTGTCTATTGGTCTCTATTCAAGTGATGTCAACATGTCCTTAGCTCTATATCACTAGAATTCCACAGTGTACTGACTGGAGATCTTATTCAGAGTATGTAAAGAAAATGGGGAAATAAAAGGCACAGAATTAGAAAAGAAGAAATATAAGCTTAAGTATGCATAAATAACACCATAAATAATCTACAGATTATTTATTAACTTGGTTCTTAATAAAATGTAAATTAATTTAAATCATTGAATATAAGGTCAATGTGTGTGTGTGTGAGTGTGTGTGTGTATACATGCCATATATGGCAAAAATAGAAGATAAAATAATCTATATCATTTTAAGTGGTATCAAAAATATCAAATACATAGCAATGAACATAATAGTATATAAAATTTCTACAATAAAAACCACAAAATATTACTTAATTAAAGACCTAAATAAGTAAATAAATATACCACATGTATGTATTAGATAATTTAATATTTTAAAGATGTAAATTCTGTAAGACTATATCTAAAGGCTCAACTTGGGGAGTAAAAGTTGTATATGCCCTGACAGAGTTTGCATCCAGACAGTAGAAGGAGATGATGATTATAAAAAGGTATGTGGGTGTTGACAAAATAACACTATGAGGTTCCTTTATGTTTCATGCATACATATATTTTAAATATTTTAATGAAGAATAAATAAAGGGGAAAGTATAAAGTAGGCTTGAATGAGTAGATTCACATATCTAACAATATTGATTATTAATATTGAATTTAAATGGAATTTTAAAATTTAAAGTCAGCAGTTTTCAGAATGAACAAAAACAAAACTTCCTTTACTTTTATTAAATAAGACACAAATCTGAAATTATGATTACATAGGAAAGTTGAGGCTACAGGATATAAAACATATAACCATCAAAATCTAAAGAATGGAATAGCCATACTATTGTCACATACAGTACAGTTCAATTAAAATAAAAGTATTTGTTATAAAGATCCTAATGATAAAATGAACAGTTCTCCTGAAAGTCAGAGATTGTAAACAAGTGAGTGTCTAATTGTTCCAGCTGCTATTTACATGAACAGAATAAAAACCCAAAAGATGACGAAATGTTTAGACCATATTAAACTATATCTTTTGTAAAGGATAATGTATTTCTTTCTAGTAACTGATATGTAGAGAAGAAGAATAAAGGAAAAAAGGAAAAGTTCTATTCAAATGACAGTTAACAAATATTTATACAAGACATATATTGAACCTGCTCCAACAATTAGAGTGCACACATTTTGAAGCTCACATGATTTGACTATCTATCAGGTTACACAGTACAAAAAATGCAACATGTCTTATGTGAAAAGTTCACTTTAATTTTATTAAAGATTTATAAGTTCAATCATATGGTAACCATTTTTAGGTTCTTGAAAAAACTCCATACAGTTTTCAATAATAGCTGTACTAATTTATGTTCCCATCAACAGTTCACAGGTATTCCCTTTTCTCTACATCTTTGCCAACACTTAACTTTTCTTTTTTTAATAATAGCCATAACAACGAGGTGATGTCTCATTATAGTTTTAATTTGCATTAAAATTCCAATGATTAACGATAATGAATTTTTTTCATTTAGCTGTTGCCATTTGTATATCTTCTTTAGAGTAATATCTATTTAAGTAATTTGCCCTTTTTCAGTTAGGTTATATATTTTCCTTGCATTGTATTGTTCAAGATCCTTATTTATTTTGGATAGTAACCCTTTATCCGATATAGTGCTTGGAAATATTTTTCCAAATCCATAGGTTTTTCTTCACTCTGCTGTTTCCTCTCTTGTGCATAGCTTTTTAGGTTGACATAATAATATTTAGCTATTTTTGCTTTGCTTGCCTGAGATTTTGGAGTCAAATCCAAAACATCACAGGCCAGACCAATGTCACGTAGTTTTCCCTTTGTTTTCTTCTAATGGTTTTACAGGTTGTGCTCTTACACTTACGTCTTTAATTCATTTTGAATTGATTTTGTATTGAACATGGTGTGAGATAAGGGTCCAATTTCATTCTTCTTCATGTGGATATCTAGTTTTCCTAGCACATAGTATTCAAAATTACCTTTTTCTCATTGTGTGTTCTTGGCACCTTTATCAAAAATCAATTGGCCACAAATACCTGGGTTAAATTCTGGGCTCTCTATTCTGTTATATTAGCTGATGTGTCTATCTTTGTGCTAGTAACATACTGCTTTAATTCCTATACCTTGTAATAGAACTTAAAATTAGGTAGTAGGTAGTGTGATGCCTCTAGCTTTTTTTTTTTTTTTTTTTTGCTCAAGATTGCCTTGCTGTTAGACATGTTTGTGATTCCTTGCTGTATTATACATTCATTATAAATTAATTACACACACACACAAACACACATACACATATATAAGAGACCAGTATGCCAGAGATAACTGTACTTCCATGTTCATTTCAGCATTATTCACAATAGCCACATTATGGAAGGAACATAAATGCCTATCAATGGATGAACGGATAAAGAAAATGTGGCATATACATATATATATATATATATATATATACATATACACACATGTAACAGAACACTATTCAGCCTTTAAAAAGAAGGAAATTCTATCATTTTCAACAACATAGATAAGACTAGAAGACATTAGGTTAAGGGAAGTAAACCAGATATAGAAAGACAAATACTGCATGATTTCACTTGTATGTGGACTCTAAAACAATTGCACTAATTGAAGCAGAAGGCAGAATGGTTGTTAAAAGAAGATGGGGAGTGGGGAGAATGAAGAATTGGTACAAGGTTTCAGCTGGACAGGAGGAACAAGTTTTGTGAGATCTATTGTACAGCAGAGTAATATAGTTAACAACTGTGTATTATATATTTCTAATTGCTAAAAGAGTAATTTCAAATGTTTTTAGCATAAAAAATGATGTATTAGAGGTGATAGGTATTTTAATTAGCCTGGTAAAATAATGTTATGTTATATACGTATATCATAATATCTATTTGTACCCCATAAATATATACAATTATAATTTGTCAATATGCACTTTAAAAACAAAATTAAAAAATATGTGTGTTTATATGTGTATGTGTGTGCAATCAAGTGTGCTATTTATTGTTCTTTCTTTAGAATTTTCATGCCTTTTTGCAGATATCTATTAATTATTTAGCAGTCTTAGATATCCTGTGACAAAGCCCTTGATTTACAAATATGTATTTTATGGTTTTGGTCTATGTTGTAGACCCAATGACTTTCATTACATATGTAATTATTTATAATGTACATTAATTATTGAAATACAATGGATTTTGTCTTAAATGCCTTGAATTCCCAAGTCCTAAAATCAGCAATTTTATTTTCTTTTTCTCTAAATGAAAATGATGTTTATATTAAATGGACACTGCTATTAGAGAAGAGTAGGAAGTAGATACATTGCTTAAGAACAGTGAACTAACAGTTAATACTCCAGAAACATCAAGTTCTAATTTTAGACATATAAGTGTATTGTTTAAAGTGTAGAAGTGTACATTTTTCTTCTATTACCACTGGCTATGAGTTTAGCCCCAGCCATAAACATTAATCATATCTTCATACTGCTCTATTACGTAGAGAATGTTGTAAGAAAAGAAGATACTAAACAGTATAGAGATGATTAAGACCACGAGCTTGGGAAACCAAAGGAAGAATGATACACAGAGAAAGTAAATATATGAAGGAACATACTGGAAGCACAACAGAACCTTGGCTATGAAGACTCTTCAAGGTTTTGTTATTCAAGGTCTATGGTATGTACTGAATTTTAATTTTAGTAATGATTCACAGGAAAATGGTATATGTGAGCTTATCACAGCTCTTATGTGATTCTTGTTTGCTGGGCATTTAAATTTCACTAAAACTTTGTCCTTCCAACCTTCCAATATTTGTAGACCGTGCATTAATTTTTCCAAAGGTTTAAAGGTCTTTAAATAATCATCAGTTCAATTTTATAGATTAAAAAATGTGACAATATTGGCACTGCAAAATGAATTTAACATAGCACACATATTAGCTTTGAAATAATTTGACAGACTTTGTACTATAGTTGTAACTCACTTGCATAACTTTTAGAGTAGAAAATATTCACATTATTTCTCGCTTAAATATTTTCAGGTATATACTGAGAAACTGGAAGTAGCAGAGATATTAGTGATTTTAGATTTTATTACAAAATCTTGGAATTTATCTCGCACAAATAAAAGAAGAAAACTTCTATTTTTAGCCACTCTTGAAATATAATATTACCAAAAAGAAAATAAATGGATACGTTCTTTTTATTCACTAAACTTCTAGTTAAACTTTGTAGTTTTCACTGGGACTTATATCACACAGAGGAAAAAAATATAAATTTTTGGCACTAATTATTCTACATTTTAATATTCCTGTATCTCATATTATTATACCATACCCTATGTACTAAATTACCAAGGGACTACGGTTGGTGCTGAAATATTTTTAAGATACATTCAATTTTGAACATGTTATTAACCATTAAAAGTCTAATTACACAAGAAAAACATCATTATTACAAATTTTGAAACTGTGAATAAACACATCAGTTAAAAGAAAACTATGTACTTGTATTAATTGAATATTTAATAAGAATTTAAGAGATCTATTTTTATATCTGTGTTTCTAATTCCATATTAAATACATCAATAATAAAATAAAGCAAAATATACAAAAATGGTTAAAGATATATTTAAAATAAATATCACTAATTGATGTCTACTTATTCTAACTTATTTTCCTGAGAAATCAATACCATTAATCTTAAAATAATAAGAATTAGTGAAAAGGGGCACAAAAGTTGTAAGTCATGTACGAAATGAATTGTGTACCAAGTGAGAAGTCTCATACCAAACCTTTATAATCAAGAAAATGCTTTTAAAAGCAGCAAAATGCAACTTACTGCACAGTTATAATCATATTCAAGTTATCTCTCAAATGCTTAATCTACAAAATCTTTAACAGCAGCAGCAAAAATAACCAATAGTTATTTACTATCATTTGCTAAACACTTTCCTAGTATTATCACGTAATCCTCACAATTCTAATATATCTCCATTTAAGTGAAGCTTAGAAAGGTTAAGCAACAATAAATTTGCACAGATAGTGCAAAAGCAGAATTTGAGTCTGAATGAACCTTGTATGATACCAATATTTAGAAGATGGTTATATAGTGTAATTGTTTGTAGATTTGGGGAATTTTTCTTTAATACCACAGGCTCAGTTTCTTCATATCCTATGTATCTTAATTTGCAAAAATGTATAGTTATGTTAAAATTACATAAAAGTATATTATCTATGTAATAATCCTAATACAGAATTTCTTCAGAAGTCAGTTGTTCTACTTGTAATTGCTCACCATCAGCCTCCAAGAAACCTCTTCTGCTACTACTGTTCCCACTCTCTATACCCTTTGTGTCTGCTCAGTAAGCATTGCACATAGCTTAGTAATTTACATGAGTTGTATTTGCAGGAATGTGCTGTATTGAACAAATATAGGAATTAAAATATACATTAGAAACGCTGATCAATCATTATATAATAATAAAAAGTGACCGAGAAGCAGAATATAAAATATTACAGTCAAAGAAGAATGGAAGAATACCAGTGTACACCTAAGAATATTGATTCTAGAAAACATTAGAAAAAGTAATGACTGGATAGAGACTATCTGCTAATGATTACTAACGTTCTCTAAGCCCTCCAACATAAGGATTTCCTTGGACATATATGTATAGAGTGACGGTTAACACTCAAACAGTCCCTACATGCATATACACACATACAAATAAATGTCAGGGTTTTTTATTATTTTATTCATTATTTTTCACCAAGAAGACCATATGCATTGTTCTGCATTCTTTTCTTTTGTGAATTTATAAGTTGAGGATTTTTTTCTTTGGTTTGCTTAACTTTTAATATAACTTTAAAATGTAGGCTTTTCAGGTATTATGGGACATGAAATAGTTATATTTCATAAAAAATGTTTCACATGTAACATCATCACATACCTTTGATGGCTAAGTAACTTACTGAATTTTGGTATTTCAGGCTGAGGAATTTAAGCTATTTCTATAGAAAAGGTGACAGTCATTCCGTAATGGTACTTGAAACCTGATGAAACTACATGAGTGACAAAAAAGGGGTGCAAGTGTAGCTAACCGATTTTGAAAAATGGGGCAGGGAGGGATGGCTAAGAGGATAAGACACCATTAATACAATTTCAAAAGGGCTCAATTTCGCAAGAGATGACGAAATCCAAAATCACTGCTCTGTGGGTTTATACAGTAATGTTTTCTAAATTTTATTTATGAAGTAAACAGAAAAGTTTGCCTCTAGCGAAAAAGATATTCATCTAAGTTTCATAAACATCACAAACTTCTCTGCAAGTTTTATAGCTATTTGCCTTATTTTAATACAAAATTTGGCCTTTTTAAAAAATGAGAGTCCAGGAAAAATATGAAAGGAAGTTTGAAAACCACATTATTCCACTTCTCCTTGGAACGTATATCTTTGTCAAATCACGAAGAAATAATTTGCTAATACTGAGATCATTCTCCTTAAAAGTGAAAGGGGGAAGGTAGTGTGTTTTTTGTTGATGTCAGTTTGTTTGTTTGTAGACAATCTCCCTCTGTTGTCCTGACTGGAGTGCAGTGGGTGCAGTCTCAGACTCACTGCAATCTCCACCTCTGGGTCCAAGTGATTCTCCTGCCACACCCTCTCTCATAGCTGGGGTTATAGGTGTGCACCACCACATCCAGCTAACTTTGTTTGTTTTGCTTTGTTTGGTTTTTAGTAGAGACAGGGTTTCACCATTTTGGCAAGGCTGGTCTCAAGCCTCTGGCCTCAAGTGATTCACCTATCTCGGCCTCCCAAAGTGTTGGGATTATAGGCTTGAGCCTCTGTGCCCTGACAGTAATGCTTAAAGATAAATAATTTCTAAAAAGATTACTAGTAATGCAGCAAATATATACGAGCTTTGTCTTCTTTCCGTCATTTAGTTTTTTTTTTATTATATTTTAAGTTCTGAGGTACACGTGCAGATCACGCAGGATTGTTACATAGGTATACACATGCCATGGTGGTTTGCTGCATCCATCCCCCTGTCACCTACATTAGGTATTTCTCCAAATGTTATCCCTCCTCAATCCCTTCTCCCCCTGCTATCCCTCCACCAGCGTCCTAACCCCCCAACAGGCCCCACTGTGTGATATTCCCCTATCTCTGTCCATATGTTCTCATTGTTCAACACCCACTTATGAATGAGAACATACAGTATTTGATTTTCTGTTCTTGTGTCAGATTGCTGCGAATGGTTTCCAGATTCTTCCATATCCGTGCAGTGGTTGTGAACTGAACCTTTTTTATGGCTACATAGTATTCCATGGTGTATATGTGCCACATTTCCTTTATCCAGTCTATCACTGATGGGCATTTGGGTTGGTTCCAGGTCTTTGCTATTGTAAACAGTGCCACAAGGAACATACGTGTGCATGTGCCTTTATAATAGAACAATTTATAATCCTTTGGGTATACACCCAGTAATGGGATTGCTGAGTCAAATGATATTCCTGTTTCTAGATCCTTGAGGAATCACCACACAGTCTTCCACAATGGTTACACTCCCACCAACAGTGTAAAAGTGTTCCTTTTTCTCCACATCATCTCCATCATCTATTGTCTCCTGATTTTTTAATGATCTTAAAAAATTCTAACTGGTGTGAGATGGTATCTTACTGTGGTTTTGATTTGTATTTCTCTAACAATCAGTGATGATAAGCATTTTTTCATATGTTTGTTGGCTGCATAAATTTTTTCTTTTGAAAAGTGTCTTTTTATTTCCTTTTCCCACTTTTTTATTTTTTTTTTTTTTTTTTTTTTTTTTTCTTGTAAGTTTGTTTAAGTTCTCTGTAGAGTCTGGATATTAGTCCTTTGCCACAGGAGTAGATTGGAAAAAATTTTTCCCATTCTGTTGGTTGTCAGTACACTCTAATGATTGTTTCCTTTCTGTGCAGAAGCTCCTAAGTTTAATTAGATCCCGTTTGTCTATTTTGGCTTTTGTTGCCATTGCTTTTGGTGCTTTGGTCATGAAGTCCTTGCCTATGCCTATGTCCTGAATGATACTGCCTAGGTTTTTTTCTAGGGTTTTTAGAGTGTTAGGTCTTATGTTTAAATATTTAATCCATCTGGAGTTAATTTTTGTATAAGGTGTAAGGAAGGGGTCCAGTTTCAGCTTTCTACACATGGCTAGCCAGTTTTCCCAACACCATTTATTAAACAGGTAATCCTTTCCCATTGCTTGTTTTTGTCAGGTTTGTCAAAGATCAGATGGTTGTAGATGTGTGGCATTGCCTCTGAGGCCTCTGTTCTGTTCCATTGGTCTGTATCTCTGTTTTGGTACCAGTATTATGCTGTTTTGATTACTGTAGCCTTGTAGTATATTTTGAAGTCAGGTAGCATGATGTCTCCAGCTTTGTTTTTTGCTTAGGATTGCCTTGGCTATGCAGACTCTATTTTAGTTCCATATAAGGTTTAAGTCGGTTTTTTCCACTTCTGTTAAGAAGGTCAATGGTAGCTTGATGGGGATAGCATTGAATCTATAAATTATTTTGCACAGTATGGCCATTTTCACAATATTGATTATATATTTTTGTATAATGTTTCTTCAATTCTATTTTTTTAATCATTAGACCATGCCTCATTAGTAAGTATACCAGATGAAAGAATTCTGGTGTTTCAGACATACTGGATATGGTCTCTGAAGATACCCAATAATTTTTAAGAGAGCATAGTTCCATTTTAAGCATTGTATATGGTTTATGATACTTTTTATAGTTTTCCTTTTTTAAATGACTCATCTTTTCTTTTTTAAATGATTCTTCTCTCAGCCTAATCTGAGCCCTAAACCATGATAAAATAAAGTTGCTTGTGTAAATAAAAATATGAATAAAGGTAATGTGAAAAGTATCAGGTGATAATAACTAAAGAATGACTGAGTTTTCTTATTTGGAAAAATATAAACAGAAATCTATTCCCCATGCTAAATATGTTCAATAATCAATTTTATAGTTGTTAATAAGTTATTATACCGGTTAATTTTTTACAGTTTCTCAGTTATTGGATACAAAACAAAATAGCTGCCATAGTCATCACATTTGCAGTTTTACGGGAGGCAAAATGAAAGATGTTCAGGGTATGTACAGAAAGGATATGTGAGTAACAGATCAGCAAATGGTTCAGTTTTGCATTAGGATAAAAATATTAAATGTATAAAAAATTCTTAAACTCTGAAAATGCATTTCTGTTGATTAGGAAAAAAAAGTAAGGGTATGATATTATTGATATCAAGATTAAGAACCACATAATACATTTTTAAAAACTTATGATACATGTAAAATAAGACTCCCTGAGACAATTTTAACATAAATCGCCTTTAAAGTACTTCTCTTGAGTGTTCCTTTGAATCTCTACTTGACCATCACTCCTCCTCTCAGAGTAGCTCATTTTTATCTATGACTAATTTTGCCTTTTAGAAAATGTCTTTCTAACATCTGGTGCTAAACTGTGCCTATGTGCCTTCTAACTTTCTAGTTTCATTTATTTTTTCCCTGAAATACTAATATCTATTCCACTATTCTACTCTAAATACCTCTGTAACCAGATAAGATGGAAAGATGGAGATTAATCTCAACTGCTGATTCTCAGTGAAGCTCACATCTGAAAATTATATATATACATAATTATAATTATACATACATACATATTTCTGTATATGTAACAATTATCTATTTAAATTGATAATTGGTATTAATATTTTACCTTTTAGAAATTATCTTTTAGAAAATTTTGCCCTTTAGAAAATATCTTGAAATAAAGACATTTTCTAAAAGGCAAAATTTTCTAAAAGATACTGAGCCTATGTATCTTCTAACCTTCTAGTTTCATTTTTTGTTTTGTCCCCAAGATATCAATATCTATTCCATTATTCCACTCTAAATATTTTTGTAACCAGATAAAATGCAAAGACAGAAACTAATCTCAACTGCTGATTCCCAGGAAAGCTCAGATCTGGAAATTATACATATATATAATTATATTCATATGTAATTACATACATATGTATGTATGTATTTACATGTGCCAATTATATGGATTTAGACAGATAATTGATAATTCATAGTATAATATACAGATATATAACTAATATATTCTATCTCTACATATACTCATATATATCTCAGATGTAGATATAGAATTTCTCCATCTGTTATATTTGCAAATTAGTTATTGTTTAATAGTTAAAAACAGACCTCCTGGAGCATAATGTATATCAGACATAGATACACAATTGTGAACAATTTAAATACAAGCTGATAAATTATTGGGTAAACAGAGTGGCTTAAATAAGATTCAGGAAAAGCAGCAGTCGCTGGCCACAGAGGTTAGGCACAATGGTCAAGAAATAGGCTGTGGGACAGCTTTTTTCTCTAGCACGTTGACACGGAAGATCTATGCCTGCTGCTCTTTCTGAACAGAAAAATAAGACAGGATTTAAATAAATTAGAATTTTAATAGACATCCTATGTATATGTGTGTGTACACCTGTTTGTGTGCACAAGCCGGTTATCCCATCATTGTTTTCTGCAATTGACTACTTCTAAGGCATTTTATATTCTGGTATAGGATTTTTTTTTGTGAGGGGGGCCACTATATTTTAATCTGTATTAGTTCCCTTTTAATTTCAGATTGTTGTCATCACTGTTTGTAAAAAGAAACAAGAAAGAAAAATTAAAATTTCATGTGGATTGCTCTAAAATTTGATATCCATTACACATAAAGGTAAATTTCTTCCTGGTTTTCTTATATCTTTTATTTCTAGAGTAACCTTGCCACTTAAAATAACTTTCTTCAGCAACAAAGTCCCGCTATTCTCCCTCCTTTTCAAAAAGGAAAAGCTTATCTCTTATCTTCATGTGGATTGATTCAGTTGATTTAGAAAGAGAGACAACTTCCTCTTAGGACGAGCTATTTTGTCTTAGGTAAAGTAACTTCATGGCGTAAGGGATGGATGAACCTGAAAGATGAGGCCCCTGTTCGTAGCACATACAGAAGTTTACATTAGAAAAAAATTATTCATCTACATAAGAGATATGATTTTTTGTTTTTGAAAGGGAGGGAGAATAGCTGGCATTGGTTGCTGAAGAAAGTTATTTTAAGGGGAAAGTTTACCCCAGAAACAAGAGATATAAGAAAACCGAGGGAGAAATTGACCGTTATGTGTAATGGACATCAAATTTTAGAACAATGATGTTTACTATGTAATGTAAAGGTTTTTAATTTTTTTCATGTTGTTTTCATCTGCTGTCCCATACCTACAATAAAAGTCATTTGAGTAAGTGACTTTGGTTTGATGATACTTAAGGAAAGAAATGGAGAGCTAATTGGACTAAGTATGAGAGTAAAGAGGAGAATGGGATTTCAAAAGGGGATTTAAGGTGGGTGGCATTTGTGAAACAAACTTAAAAATGAGAATTATTAGAATACATTCTAGTAACATCCAATCTTTCCTAAATTCAAAATAATATTACAAAGTTAGAAAATACTAAAGTTCATTTGATTATAGTTTAATTTTTCTTATTTAAACAAAGTAAAGGGCATCTACAAAATGTTGAAGGTTTGACACTTTATGGATTTATTTATTTCATAAAGGGCTCTCTTTAACTTGTAAACAAATTAGAGTTTTAGTTAATTGCTTCTAATTTGGTTTACTAAATAAATCGATCTGAAATAAATATGGTTTTTATGTTTAGGAAGTTTCACTAATCTCTTCTGAAACTTCTATTTCATTTCATTCCTTCCTGTTTATACAAACATACATGTTAATATATTCACAATGTGGGCCGGGTGCGGTGGCTCACACCTATAATCCCAGCACTTTGGGAGGCCGCGGCGGGTAGATCACGAGGTCAAGAGATCGAGACCATCCTGGTCATCATGGTGAAACCCCATCTCTATTAAAAATACAAAAATTAGCTGGGGATGGTGGCACACGCCTGTAGTCCCAGCTACTCAGGAGGCTGAGGCAGGAGAATTGCTGGAACCCAGGAGGCGGAGGTTGCAGTGAGCCGAGATAGCGCCACTGCACTCCAGCCTGGGTAACATGAGTGAAATTACGTCTCAAAAAAAAAAAAAAAAAAAATTCACAATGTGTATTTTTCTAAATCCAGCCCAAATAAATATCAATTGGACTCTCTTTAACTTTTCCTATATATAGTTGGTAACTTTTTCTTAGAACATATGCATTGCAGGTAAATTGGTTTGCTAGGACTGCCATGACCATAAACCACAGACAAAATAGCTCAAATAATAAGCTATTTTCTCACAGTTCTGGAGGCTAAAAGTCCAAAATCAAGATGTTGGCAAGGTTGATATCTTTTTTTTTTCAATTTTTTAAGTTTATTTGATGTATTTGATGATCAGCAATTAGTTATCATCCACATTGACTGTCTGCAGATTTTTGAAAGTGGTAACAGGTACATAGGTAACCAAAGTAGAGAGCTTATTTGGTGAATCTTCATCCTCATTATGTTTTCTAGACAACTGCACACGGATTCGGTATGGGACATTCCTTATTCCTTTGGCCCAGACAGCTTCGTTGAGCCTGGTATCAATGCGCACATCTGGAGTTCCCATCTCCTTCATAGCAAATTTCCGAATCTCTTTGAGTGCCCGAAAGGCATGCTTCTTGAAGCCAACTCCATGGATGCGCTTGTGAATGGTGATGGTGTATTCTCGGGTCACCACCTCGTTGATGGGAGAACGGCTCTTTTTCTTCTCACCACCCTTCTTTGCGGGAGCCATTCTGTGTGGTCCTAGCGGTGGATTTCTTCTTAAGCCTCTCTCCTTGGCTCATCGATGGTTATGTTTTCCTGTTGTCTTCACATGGTCTTTCCTCTGTGTGTGTGTGTCTGTGTCCTAATCTCTTGTAAGAAGTCCAGTCATGTTAATTTAGAGCTCATCCTAATGACCTGATTTAACCTTAGTTACTTATTTAAAGGCTTTGTCTACCCAATCACATTCTGTGGTGGTTTAAGACTTCAACATGTGAATTTCAGGGGAGACAACTGATGCCATAACAAAGGTAGGTGATATCAGTTTTTTAATTTTAATCACTCAGAAACCTAAGGTTCTGAAGTCATAGTTTCAGCTGCAGAATTTGCACTCATGTTTTGGTACACACTCTAATTTGTTTAGAAAATGAAGAGAACTTTATGCCATAATTGATGCCCATGTATTTTCAAACCTTCAGCATTTAGTACATACCTTTTACTTAACATTGCCTCTGGGAGAAAATTTAGCAACTCATTTGACTCTGATTCGATTGTGTTCCAGGATTACCATGAAGATGGACTGGACATTACACCACACTGGAAAAGTGAAACATCCCATTCAGTTTGTGATCTTCCTGTCATGAAAGTTGCTTGACAGCTCCAATTTTCAATTGAACACATTAAACACCTGGAGAAATTATCAATTAAAAACATCTAATCACCATAGTTATGTGTGTCTAACTTTCTGTTGTTGTAACTGAGCGAGTTAGGAGGAACGTACCACGCTCTGAGTTACAAATCAAGAGTCCTTTATTAATTAGCCAGTGACCGAGAGACGGTTAATGTTCAAAGTTCTCTCTTCCCCGAGGAAGGGGCCCGATTATCTTTTATACCTTGATTTAGGTAGGGGAGGGGAGTACCTAGCTGAAGCAGAATTTTACAGAAGCAGAAAAGCAGGTTAGAGGAAGTGGCTGTGGGAACAGGTGGTTTCCATACAATTATCAAGAAGGGGGGCAATCAGGCTCCTTCTACACAATGATCAAAGGGAACTTTTTTTTTTTTTTTTTTTTTTTTTACAATAGCAGGGGGTAGGTATGCCAAGCAGGGTGCGGTTACAATGGTTACAAGTGTTAAAAACAGTAGGCTTCAATGCTTCTAAGTGCAGCATGACCCAGTTATGCATGCAAAGGGGCTGTGGTAAGGAGAGGGAAGCCAGGTTGGAGTTTACAGCCAAAATGGAGTCAGTGATGCTAGCCCAGGGTAGCTTATTACACTGTGAGTTATGACCTAACTCACAAGCATCTACACATGGTTGTCAATGCCATTAGTTTTGCTAAATTATTAAGACAGTCTTTGTTAAAAGTCATTTAATTTCCTATGGTTCTACCCTGATCTTGTCTTCAGTTCAGTATGGAAGGTATGAAATAATTCTGTTCTCCTTTACCACACAGTTTTTGTCAGAACTAGTAGATTCTGTTGTTATAAAGCTGGGTCAAAGCGCATACCATACTGAGGCTTGCTCAAAGTTTGCAGTCATGTGTCTGACATTATTCCCTGATTTCAACACTTCTTTCATTTTCTGTTTTTCTACTTTCATCATTTGGGTTGATTCCTATATAGATTTGAATTTTTTCACGTGCTATTAGCTAGCATTCCCTAGAATTTCCTCTTTACAAGATTTATTTCTGCTTGGATTATCTAAAGATTCTATAAACACTAAAATTCTGGTCCCAATTTTCTAGTTTTTTCCCAGTATATCACATCTTCCTTTGACAGTTTGTAGTTTAGCAAATAAATTTTGTGAACACGTAGCTCTTTTGAGTTAACACAAAACCATCATCAGGCAACACAATTCTTGTCAAGAAAACTAAAATCTATATTAATTTTTAATATCAGGCCATTAAAATTTCTCCTTTAAGGGATCACTTTTGAGTTTAAAATATTCTTCGAATCAAAATTACACCATGACAATCTGCCCTATCTTATTTTTCAATCTTATTCTCATCTTTCTTATTTTCACCTTTCAACTTTATTTTCTTTCCATCTTATTACTCCAGTTTTCTCCTTTAATCTAACAAAATATGCCAACATGTCTATTTTTTATAAACAACTTTATTTAGGTAAAATTGACACTAAGAAGCTGAACATATTTAACGTATATTATTTAATGAGTTTGGCATGAATGCATCCGGAAGCCGTTATTGTAATCAGAGGAGTAGACATATTCATCTCCAAAAATTTCTTTCTGTCCCTTTTTTGTTGCTTTCTTTTGTTTCGTGGTAAATGCTTAACATAAGGTCTTTCTTAACAAAGTTTTAAGTGCCTTGCACAGTATTTTTGACTATAGGTACTATACTGTTGAATAGATTTATAGAATTTATTTGTCTTAATTAACTGTAACTCTATACCACATCCCCACATTCTCCTTCCCTTGGTCGCTAGTAACCACCTTTGTACCTTTGTATTTTCTAATTCCATGAACTTGATTATTTTTGGTATAATACATAAGTGGAATTTGGCAAAATTTGTCCTTTTGTGACTGACTTATTTTACTTGGCATAATGCTGTTAATGTTTATGTATCTTGTAACATATGGCAAAATTTGCTCTTTCTAAAAAAATGAATAATAGTCTGCTGTATGTCTGTATGATATTTTCTTTGTTCATTCATCTATCAATGGATATTTGGGCTGATTCCATAGCTTGACTATTAAGTGTAGTGCCACAGTAAACATTGAAGTATAGATCTCTTAGAGATTCTGATTTCAGTTATTTTAGGTAGATACCCAGGAATGAGATTACTGGATCATGTGGTCTTCCATTTTTAATTGGTGGACAATTTTCATACAATTCTTCATAGCAATTGCACCATTTTTGAATTGTCACCAATGGTGAGGTAGGCTCCAAATTTTTCCTTATCTTCACCAACATTGTTATGTTTTGTTGATAATAGCCATCCTAACTGATGAAAAGTTATATCTCATTATGGTTTTGTTTTGTAACTCTCTGAAACTGACGTTAAACACCTTTTCACATACCTGTTGACCATACATATGCCTTTTTTACTTTGGGAAATGTCTATTAAGATTTTTTCCATTTTTGTTGTTTTTGTTTTTTTTTTTTTTTTTTTT